TTTTGGTCTCTGAACAACCCTGAACAAATCATCTACAAACTTAGGAACTGAGCAGCTGGGTCTGACAGCAAAAGTGTACCATGCATTCTTCTTTTTGCTCTCTGTTTTGTTTTGTTCTGTGTTGCTAAAATAGCACACCTGTCAAAGCAGCCAGGTATGATGGGGTTCAGCACAACTAAAACCGTATAAAAAAAGAACAGATAAATTATAAGGTAATAGTACAACTCTCACACCCAGTACCTCATAGTCATCTCACAAGCCAGCTGACAGCTAAGCCCACCCACACTGCAGTGTTGATGAAAAATACTGACATCTTCACTCTGGTGCTACGTGAGTATTAAACCTGACTTTAGTAAATTCAGAACTTCGTGCTGAGCTTGAAGTGTAGAGGGAAATTGAAATGGTGTCCTTCTCCCTCTCTCTCTTTTCACCTTCCCCTCCCCCTCCAAACACAGGCAAGAGAGGAAAGGGGAAAATGAAAGAGGTCACACAGGCACCAAGAGAGAAAGATTTAGGGATCCCCCCAAAATGATAAGTCTACCTAGAGGCACATTAGTCGTATTGTTTCTTGTCGATCTCTGCTTCTAGAATATAGGGCCCGTGGCGACTGGGCCTTTCTAGCTTCTATCCTCAGTGTCTGCATGTATCAGATATGAAGTGTATTTGTTGAGTGAGTGTATGAAATTAGTGCTCTCAGGAAAATAATAGAAACACACTCACACTTGATTGTACATTCCTCTGGTTCGCCTTTGAAATGGCCAGATAAGTTGGCAAAGAGAAATCGTCCTACAATTATGAGAATCGGATTGTACTCCATGTTTTGCCACTAAATCGCTTGCTCGCCTTGAACCTTATTTTCTCCATCTGTCAAATGGAGTTGAGTCAGATGCAGCTGCTCTCCGCTCTAAAAAAGCAAAACGCGGGGCAAAAGGACTAAGCTCATTTTTGTGTTTGATGCAAGAGTTGTTTCCTCAGGACTCACCCAAGAGAGAAAAGATATTTGTTTGTGTTGTTTTTAAATGACCAAAGAAATAAAATCACAAGGTGCAGGAAGAGACTTTCTCAGTTTAAAGCAAACTACAACCTTTTAGAATATAGATGCCATTTAAATCAAATATAAAAGCTTTGACAAACTGTCAGTCAAGGTTGAAAGTCTCTTTTTATCTAAACTTGTCACCTCCAGGTCTCTGAGAGGTGACAAATTTTGCACGAGAATGCCCTGTCTGAGGTGTTAATTGCCTTCATTTCAAATGCCCTAGGCTGTTCTCAAACCCAGGTAGATTCAAAGGATGATGCCAAAGGTGGTCAGTTTTATAGAGTGGATCTGACATTTCAAAATCTTTTTCTTTAACCTTTCAAAACTAACTTTGTTCTTCAACTAGCTCATCTATAGGTGTGAATTCTCCTGTGGCAGTGTTATGATAGTGTCACCTGTGGTGAGTTTACACATTCTCTCAACACTTAGTAAAATTCACTTCCTTTACAAAAATAAAAGAAAAAATTAAATGTCTTTTTTTTTTTTAAAGAAACACCTCCTCCTCCTTTTGATAATATCTGGGTTTAACTACCAGGCTATGTTTTCTAATGTCCTTTGTAAGTGAGAAACCAGAGTGTTGTCACTCGTGTTTATTTAAGCCTACTTTAAGTGCTTATACTAAGGTTAGAGAAGAAAAGCACACGCATGCCCTCAAGTCCTCTGAAAAAGACAGACAAGCAGACATAATAAAGACAGATCCACTTTATTTTGCTTTTGGACTGTGATAAAGGAAAGGATGAGGCTCTGAGGGGTATCGCACATCTAACTCAACTGATACTTTCTACTCAAGACAGCAAGTTCTTTATCTTTCTGTTGCCATGTATAATTCCTCTTATTGGTCGTAATTTTACTTAATTTTCCTGACTCAAAGAATGCTCCCTGTTTCTGCCTGAAACTGTCTGTTTCTGAGATTTCATTCTTGGAATATAGCTAATGTTTGTTAACTGCTTAAAACAGTCCAGACATTCCTACTAAGCAGTTTGCATGCATTGTCTCATTAATTTATACCACAACCCTATAAGGCAAATGTTATCTTTGTCCCCATTTGATCAATGGAAAACAAAATTCAGAGAGTCTAGGTAGCCTGTTGGTAGCACAAACTGCCAATGTTAATATCAACCCCAGGATCTACTCCAAGCTGCCAGCCTCAGAGCTCTGCATATCAACAATATCCTCTTCTGTCTCCCAAGGTTAATGACGAAGTCATTGTACTAGATTGGGCTTCTGTCTCCTATATAGCAACTAATTTCAATTTCCAGAATATTCCTTTTTTTTTAAGATTGATTTATTTACACATACAAGAACTGGGGTACAGGCCAGAGGTGCAGGGGCGTGAGCGGATTCACCAGAGACAGAGTGGGGAGCAGAACAAGCAGAGTGACCAAAGTATACCATGAGGGGAGCAGCGGGCAAGACA